TTCATTTGTCTTCTTACTGCCTTAAAGTCCATCAAATATCATCACTTGAGCAGCATGGACTGAACTTAAAAGGCAACCTTCTCACAATTTTCCATGTCTGCATGTGGTGATAATTTAAACTTCCAACATTTACACATGTTCCTTATGTTCTTGCATTTTACTCACAATTTCAATATCCACATTTCAGCATTCATACAAATTAAGAACCATGTTAGTTTTTAAATTGAAGGGTGATATATTGATCTTACTCCAAACCCCTGCCTCTGCCCCCCTCCCCCCCCCAACACCCAAAAAGAAAACAAGCTGGCTGCTCTAAACAGTCAATTCTCTACATACGTAATCTTCACCAATATTGATCATTCCCATAGGCCACTCCGGTATAGAGAGAAGAAAGTTTATTAAGAAAGCTATCAGTTGGACGCAACTAAAGTCGGCAATTCAATTGATGAACCAACTGATTATATACTTTGTTTGAAAAAGTGCACCCAAATTTGCAGCCAAAAACTGGAAAAAGGAAAAACTTTTCTAAAACTTATAAGATTCACAAGCATACCTCTAAGCGTGATGAAATATCCTTACATTCCCTGGTTGGTGAGTAGAGAACACCAGCAGCCTCACCAAGAAACTGACTGACACCATGGTGCAGCTTCGCCAAAAGACCTACTGTAGTTCCCTTTTCTTCAGCCCTTCTTATAGTTACAGCCTACTCAAATTTCATGATAATAACAAAATAACAATTATTACCAAAATAAAAAGGAAAAAAAGAAGTTTCTCCAGGACTTACAATAAAGTTGTACATGATTTATTGATGAACACACTACTTAAAGAACTAAAGTGGTAACCAGAAAACTGACCTGTGCCTCTGCCAAGCAAATAAGGCTCATAACAGTGCATATGGATGAGGTTGCCTCCGGTGGCCTTTCTGCTGATAATGCAGGCTGCAAAGAGGGAATAACCTCGTGAGCCAGGTGATTAAAAATTCCAGCAGCTTCTCTATAAAGCGTGGCAGATTGCACCAAATCTACAATGATGTGAAGGATGTAAATAACGATATGACAAATAACGTACACCACTCCAACAGCTATCCTAGAAAAAGGACTGGTACCTACCAGTTGCCAGAATTTCTACAGATCTCTGCCGAAGTTTTGCAGCATAAAGGAAAAGGGTCATAAAAAGCTCAAATTGCAAATTGTTAATTTGATAAAACTTTGGACCGCCAAAGTTGAAGAAAGATGATGAATTCAAGGCACTACTCCACCGTATCTTCAGTTCTGAAGTATACTGAACCATCTTGAAGTTGCTGCCAATACAATCAACATAAAAAACCAAGTTTTCCAGCAGAGGTAAGTATTTTTCCACTTTCTGCAGGTCCTGAGTCATTTATAGAAGACAAAAATAAAATGAGAGGAAGAAACAAATGGGATTGGCCATCACAAGCAAAACCAAATTGATCAATCTGTTTGAACTACAATACAACCGATGACACAGAAAGCTAGAATTCCTAAAATAACACAGTAATCCAAACACCACCTGCTGACAACGAGTAGTCAATCCTCCAGATATTTCTCGTGCAATGGCCTCTGTGACAGAGCTGCTTTTATTAATGGACTCCTCGAGTACTCTACGTTTAGAGCTTAACTCTTTCAAATGCTCAAGGGTAGCAGAATCACGTGCTGGATATACATCTTCGAAAATGATCTACCAACAACATTGAAATGTTAAACAATGTAGCAAATAAACATTAGCTCATCTTGAAGCGGGTAGCTTAACATTTATGTCTTTTTTTTTTCTAAGGTAACAAGATGTTTTGACTAGGAATCCAGTCATTAAAAAAATGTTTACAACTTCAGCATGAGTTTCAAAATGTGCCATCATTTTTTCGCAGTAAGGAAAGAAAAGGATGGTAAACTAATCATCTTCTTCTTTCCAATTTTCAACTTTTCACTCAAGAAATCTCTCACTGTCAGATGTTTTTCTCAGCTTCTACAATAACTACAAGCTTAAACTCAATACTTTGAGGACATAACAGTTAATTGTAAGTATCTAATATGACTACATCAGCACCGCACACAATCAAAATTCGATCCTCTTAAGCTTAGATTACCAAAACTAATACAATCAAATACACCTATAGAACAGAAGCAAATTCCAATAAAATACACTAGGAGATACGTTAGAAAATAAAGTAAAATAGCAGAGACAGCTACCTTCTTAGTCCTGAGCTCTGCTGGGTCTCCAAAATTCAGCATCCTCTTTCCACACACTAAAAAGGAAACAAAAGGAAGCGCGAGAGGAAATAACAGAGAGATTGGGAAAAGAGCGAAAAGAAAAAAAACTGACTCAAAGGAACTGTGTAACCACACTCATCTTCTCTTTGCATTCATATAACAAGAAGGTTTAGCAGAACCAAACCACAAAAGCGACTCGAATATTTTGTCGTACTCTGCAAAACTGGCGATACAAACCCGGAATTCCGAGAAATGAGAAGACAATAGAGAGAAAGTTGTTGTTTGGCTGTTGGTCGGAGCATGAATGAATTTATAGGGATAAGTTTACGCCATTTTTTTTGGTCGGCAAGTGCGTAGGGTTTCGTCGTTTTCAGGGCATTTTCAAATTAATTGCGATTTCTTCTATAGCAAGGTTGCAAGAAGAGGCTGTGAGGAGAAGATGATGATGATTGAGGTGGGCCCGGCTGATTCTACGACTGTTCGCCAGCCACTGCGCCCTGATTATTTTAATTAAAAAAATTAAATTTTGACAGAATATTTATTTCGATTAAAGATATAATAAATTTATTAAAATTAATTTTAATTTAATCATCGTTGTTATGCCAACATACGATAAAATAATTTTATACTTAAAATATATTTTAAGTGGGATAATGCTAAATGAAAATACTAAAAAAATAATCAATTACTTCACTTATCTCCTTAATTTTTTTTACGTATTTTATATCAATAAATTCATATCATAAAATTCATTTTTCTTTATTAGAACATAATATTTTTGTAGTATAAATAGACTAAAAAAAGTCAACGAAGAATAGAGAAGTCTTTATACAAACATCATCCTTATTTTTTTTCTTTTTAATTAATTAAATAAAAGAAAAATATAATTTTTTTCCGTAGAAATTTATATATTATCAATATGTGATACATAAATATTAATTTTAACATAACAAAAAAACTTCTAAATGACAACATAGTAGAGTAAAATATAATTCAAATATACAATTTTTTATATAAAAATAAATATACAAACTATTCAATCAATAGTGGTTAATAATGTAAAACTTATTGTTAAAAATTGATACAAAATATTCTTAATGTGAAAAAAAGATTAAAGTTACTAATAAAAATAAAGATTCATATCAAGATGTATCACAAAAATAAACATAAATAATGTTTGATTATTTTAATATATTTAGTATTTTTTTTATAGATAAAAATATAAAAAATATTGAAATGTATGCATTAAATGAGCAACAACTCTGTGTAAAAAAGATTTATATGTCAATTAATATATTTATAATTAGTCATAAATCGTTAAAATAATTAATATTATGTCATAATATAATAAAATCAAAAATATGGAGTCCTTTGTTCATAATTCTTGCTCACCGCATTCCAAATGAGTAATTTTTCTTTTACATAACAAATTATTACCCAACATATGCTAAATAAATCATAAGCTATAGACCATAACTTAAGCATGTTTTGCATATAAAAACACTGATTATTAAAAAAAAAAAAAAAAAAAAAAACTTTCAACCAGAATTTTGGACGAGCAATTGGAGAGAAAAGAGGGAAATAAAAAAAAAATGATGAATGAGGAAGTTGTAGAGAAAGAACGGGGAAATGAGCAATTGGTTTGTGAAATTTAGTAACTTTGCCATTTGAAAACAAAAAAAAAATAATAATCAAATTTATTTGTTAATTTTGTTTGAAATATTTATTCGATATAAATTGAAATATATTTAATGTTTATTTTTTTTAAAAAAATTAAGGTAGTATAAAATATGCATCAACTAATTAAAAAAAAAAAGGTAAATAAAATGTAAGAAAGCTTGAGGGTTTTTGGACTTTTTGTTTTCTAGTTTTTGGTTTGTTTGACTTTTTGTGTTGACTGTTTTTTTTATTTAAAAAAGAACCGTTCACCATTAATTAAATATTTTATGGTTATAATTTTATTTCCAAGTAAAAACCAACGGATTTTCCATTTCCTTTCCTAGAAAACAGACAGACGGACGGACGGACGGATGGACGGACGGACGGGCGACGGACGGATGAATGTCGTTAAGTGGACGATTTAAATCTAAAATCTTAAACAACACGGAACCATTTTGGTCTCCTTCTTCCTCCAGTCTACCGTTGATCCAGCTCTTCTCTTTCTGCTCTTAAACCTACCCCGCTCTACTCCACCAAAGAGGCGTTCGCTAATGTTGGCTCTCGTTTAAGTATCAGGGGGTACCCGAATTATCAAAGGCCAGTTCGTACCGATACCTTGCTCGGAGTGACTTTGGGAACAGTAATTTCATTTCATTCCTGGAACTTGAAACTACTTCTCTCTCTCTCTCTCTATATATATATATATATATCTATCTAAAGAAAACTGTATTCCAGTTTTCAGTTTATGCTGTATTTTAAATAGCTCTGGTTCTCCGCTTTGCACCGCATAGTATGGTTGAGAAACAGCTGGTTGTGGCCATTGAAGGCACTGCGGCCATGGGGCCCTACTGGCAGACTGTCGTTTCTGATTACCTTGACAAGATTATCAGGTACCATTTCTCTCTTCTCCAATTAATTTATTATTAGTATTTTTTTTAGTAGGATTAGGGTTTTAATTGTCCATTTCCTGAACTCGAGAGATTAACCATTTCCTGCTAATGGTGCCACATAAATTCAAAATTGAGTTTTATTGATTGTGAATAATACTTAATCCTTTTCTTCTTTCTCATTAGACTAGTGATGTGATATTGGGTCTAAAGCAAGTCTTGTATTTATTGGCGTGAAACCAATAAACAGTATTTTCAGAAATGCAAACATTATCTGAATTCTAATCTGTTTGTGTGAACAATGGGAGCTATATTTGCTTCTTTATTTTCTGTTTCTGCCAACTATTTGATTGAGGCTTTAATTAAGAAATATCAATTTTTAGTTATCTAGTGATCTTGATCAGCCTATAATAAAGTTCTGTAAATTAGTGTTTTCGAGTTAGAAGTACATCTGAAGGATTTCACACAGGGTTCATTGTAGAATGATGATAAAACATTCCTGTTGTCAGCTTTAATTACCTAGCTACCATTTTGATGCAAAAAAGAGAAAGAAAAAAAAAACAAAAAAAAGGAAGAACTACCAATGGACTATTATTTTAAAAGTAGAGCTTAAAACCCACAGATCATAGTTCTTTTGTTTCCTTAAATTAATCAATGAGAAGTGGGTTTGATAAATCTGGTGATATGGAATCATTTGGGTATTATATTTTATTAAAAGATTGCGTTATTCATGGACTATTCAGACAGCATTTATTAAAATTCTATTACTCCTAAAATTGTTCGAAGGCTTTTATTTTTTAGTAGCTTCTTCATGTTGAATCATGGACATGAAAATTGCATTAGTATGTTATTGACAGTTTCTAATAAATGGAAGGTATCAATTCTTGGTTGTTGTGGATTCTTTTTCAAATGGCAACTTGCAAAATATAACAATGTTTGATTTCATTTGTCTTTCAATATATATTTGCTAATTAGTTTATTTCTTTTATTGCTTGGTTAATGTGAAATAATTTGAAAGAATCCAACTTTATTATCAATATTCTAAAATTTTCTCCCACTTTAAGCAGAATAATAAGTTTATCAAGCATGGAAAAACCTCAATGAGTATAAGCTAAATGCAAATCTAGCAAGGCCACTGAATATGAAATTGACCCATTTGGTCTTGTGGCTCAAGCTGAATATCAACTCCGGATACCACTCCTTGAAAGATTGCAGTTGCGAGTCTACTTAGCAAGTACATATTCATATATATTATAACTTAAACACTGAAAGTGAATAATGTTGAACGTGCTAACTGAAAAATTAACCCATATGGTCTTGTGGCTCAAGTTAAACCTTCAATTCTGCATTATACTCCTTGAGAAATTACAGTCAGGAGTCTACATAGACAATGACATGTTCATGTACATTATAACTTAACCAGATATCAGTTAATACTTATGTTGTTAATGTCAATAACCGTGTCTTGTATCCCTTGGTTTTATGAGTGGGATTCATTTCATTTCAACTTTGAAGCTTGACCAAATGTTAGGGACCTTTTGGTTGAGGTTTTGGACTGCTATGTCTGCTCCACTGTGATGCTTAGAACCTTTCTTAGAGCTCGAGGCTTTCATACTTAACTTTTCATTTTTGGAAAGTATAAATTTTTATGCATCTATCCATGCTGAATCATTACTTTTTTTCTGCTAGTGGGTGCCATGATCATTAGACTATGGTGGTTTCCCCTCCTAAAACCAATCAGAGTAGAGTAAGCCATAAAAGGAGTTGATTGATAGTAATTCTGGGTTTGGTGACCCAAAAAAAGAGAAGATGCTTACAGTTCCGACAATATGAAGTGAAAAGAACGGTTAATCATTTCAAAATGGGGAATCAAATTTCACTGAGTGAGACAAATTAAAAAACAGCTGTAGTTCCCTGATCCCAAGGACGCTTGGTGCTTTTCGTTGTCTCCGTTACTGATGATGTGTCAACAGCTTGAGAAATTGTAGTCCCAAGGTAATCAATGAGCCTGACAGATAAGCACAATATTGTCCGTAGTTTCATTTGTTGAATTTGGACAAAGAATAGGCATGGTGAATTTGAGAGTTTGTAACGGGTGGTCAGTTTTTAAAACTTAACTAGGAAGTTTTATTTGGTCAATATTTTACCTGTTGGAAAGAGAATAAGTCTGGTGGATTAGAAAGAAATACTTTTGTAAAGCTTTATTAATTGTTCCTTCCTATGGAGATCATAAAACAAATCCCTTGCTTTCTTCCATTCATTTCTACCTAAATGCATTATAGAACTACTCTATAGATTCAAATCAAAACCACTATATACATTCAAATCTTGGCAGCACCTTTTCTCTCTATCTTAACTTCCTTGAGAAATAGGAAAATAAATCCTTTCCATTCTCTCCTCTTCCTTTTTACCTAATGAATTACAGAACCACCACATGGCTTCAAATAATATACAACATTGAACAATCAGCATGGCTGAGAAAAAACTAGTTGTCATTATTGAAGGAACTGCAGCAATGGGTCCCTTCTGGAAGTCTATTCTCTCTGACTATCTGGAAGAGATTGTTAGGTATGGCAATTTCCTTCTGTAAAATTTTGTTCCTTTCCCTAGTTCTCTTGTCATTCTGCTTTTTTTCTAATTCTGTTTTATTGGTGGAGCAGATCTAATACATGCATGATTCGGCTCTCTATCTATCTTTGTTTTTTGGGTAGATCTTGTTAGCTGGGAAGTGTTCCGTGGGTTTTATCCTTTGATAATTTTAGACTCTTCCCTTCTTTACTGTAATTTTTTTTCTTCTTCTCTTCTGTGTAGAAGAACAACTATTGATTCCACATTTCTTAAATTTTTTTCCTTTTCCAGCCGGTAAAATGTTTTCATTGTCAGGTGTCTGATGTTAAATGTACCACCCACTTCACTTTTAAGATATGAATCACGAATTTTCTGGTCTCGACTTGTCTCCTCACTGGTTATGACAAGTTCTGTGAGTTCTTTAAGTGTTTTTTTAGGGAATCAGATCTAGAAAAATTTCCTAACTCTCTCCCTTGCTTTCTTCTGTTAATTACGGGACGAAGTTTTATTGGTTTGCTAGGATTATGATTTCTTTGTGGGGATGCCAGCTACTAGCGATTATTTTGTCTATTTCAGGAAAAAAAAACTAATGATTATTTTGTCCTGGCGTAATCTTTATCACTATTGGACTTCATGTTTCTCAACCACTTTTTTTCATTTCATGGTCTATTTTCAAGATTATGATTTGTTAGGTCTGATTTTAAACTAATATCACCTGCTTCACTTCTAAGGTTAAATCACGAATCATCTGATACTGACTTATCAGATTGCTGGTTTAGCGAGTGATCTTTAAGTGCTTTTTGGGGAATACAAGAATTGTATTATAAACAAGGCACAAAGGGGCGCGGTCCATTTATAAAAGATATTGGAAACCCCAAAAATTTGCAATAGAATATCTGTATAAGGAAGGTATAAATGATCTTATTTGACATATAATGGCCATAGAACAAAAAATAAATTTCTTCACCAGAAATCCCTGCACTTTTTGGAAGGAAGGAACATTCTCTTTCAAAGGCTCTTAGATTTCTATTTTGGGTTGGTTTGCATAAGTTTTTTATGTTCGTAGGTCTCTTTAAAGCTGTTCTAATATATTTTGGTATTTGCTCAGGTGTTTCTGTGGTAATGAATTAACGGGGCAGGTAAAGCATTTGCTCTCTTTGCTCTTATTCTCAATTATTGTCCTTGTTTTCATCAACAACAGGTTATGATCTCAATTTTTCCATTGATGACTTCAGTACCTGAGCTAAGATCGTAGTTATTGTACAATATATTGCCAAACGGTGACAACTTTTTTTTTTCTTTCATAAAAGATCCTAATTTAAGTGTAAGTAGCATGAAATGCAAAATTCTTCTACAATATTTTTGCTAACCTTACTAACTAAGCTAATTGACTCTCACTCAGCATTCCCAAGTTATGAATTTCATACATTGACTGTTAGGTTGAGTACAACATGTTTTTGAGTAGGCTGCAAGGAAAGAAAGGTGATAGGAGAGGATAGGGAGAAATGAAAATAATGAAATTGGTAATAGAAGAAACAAAAAAGAAATCACTACTCTGAAAAGTGAGGGATGACTGTGGTAGCTAAAGTATGTCAACTGTGTATGGTTGTATTTCTCGCCATATGTGAAGTACAATGAAAGTTAGAGTCAGAGAGGGATGGCAGCCTGCAACATTTTACTCTTCATTTGCTGAATAACATTCCATTCCTCTTCTCTCTATTCCCCTCAATCCAAAAGCATGGTAGTCTAGGTGTTCTACAAATCACTTATCATATGATGTAGTATCAACTGTACTTATGTTTTTCTCAAGTTATGCATCTGCTTATAATGACTTTGGCTTATAGTATAAATTTATTATAACTCTGTATGGAATACAGAATTTTGCTTCCTTACAAATTCATAATTCATTGATAGAAAGAGAGACTTGATAGTCAACATCCTGTTCATCTGTAAATAGACAATTGAATATCTTATGTCTAGCTTGCGAACTTATTCTTTTTGTCTTATATTTTAATGTAATGTAGCTTTTGTTCTGGTAAAATTACAGAAGACTTCTTCTTCCAATGTGGAGCTCTCACTGGTTACCTTTAATTGTCATGGATCATATTCTGGTATGTAGTATTTTCTCTTACATAAAGTTGTAATTATCAGTTATTCGTTATTTTAGAGTATGTTCATGGAAAATATATATGGTTTGCTTACTCAAATATATACACACACACACATGTGGATTGCTTAGTTTATGTTGTTAGGGCGACTAACAGAATACTGTTTTCTGTCCTTATCTCCTACTTTGTGAGGTTGCCTTGTTCAACGGAGTGGCTGGACCAAAGATGTTGATACTTTCTTGCTGTGGCTCACAGCTCTTCCTTTCGCTGGTGGTGGTTTGGATGATGCTGCCATTGCCGAAGGGCTTGCTGAGGCTCTGATGGTGCATATTTTTACATGCTTTACTTCCTCTTGCAGAGTTTGAGTTGCAATATCTTGTACTGTAAATTTTCTCTCTCAAGAATTCTGAGATCTTGCAGCCATCATATGCAACATGATCATATTCTAAATCTACAAAAGCCCTACCACTCTAGAGATTAGCCTATCTTTGATTGCAAAAGGCAATGATGAAGATATAAAGGATTGACTAAGTTGGTTCTTCCTCCAAGTTGGCTCTATCTAGCACAATATCATGTTATCTTGCTGTCTGGTTTTGCTTGTTCTTTGAGTTTCGGCCACTGTTCCACTACCCATCCTCATCTCCTTGTAGCATCCACTGTTTGTTCCTAGTCTCAGTTTATGTGACCAAACAATTCCTACTTATTTCTTATCTTCCCTTTATTTTTTTTTTTCAAGTAAATTGAACTACCTAATGTCTTTAAATATTTTTGAAAACTCACACGAGTTCTTTTAGAGTTTTACTTCAGCCACTGACGTACTGAGTTTTCTGCAATGAAGTTTTAGATCACAAGTGTGCACTATTCTAACTTTTCTTTTGGAATGCATCATTCAGATGTTTGACATCAATTTAAATGGGAGCCAAGCTCAACAAAATGTTGACTTGCAAAGACATTGTATCCTTATTGCTGCAAGCAATCCTTATGCTTTGCCAACACCAGTCTATCGACCAAAATTGCAGAATTTGGATCAGAATGAAAATGTTGAAGGTCAGACAGAAAGTCGTCTATCAGATGCTGAGTCACTGGCTAAATCATTTCCAATGGTGTGTTTATTGGTTACTGTTATTTTTCTTACTTCTTCTTTCTTTCCTTCTTGGATTTATTTATATCTCATTTTCATTTCAGTGCTCTGTGTCTTTATCAGTCATATGTCCGAAACAGCTTCCAAAACTTAGAGCAATCTACAATTCGGTAAGGATTATAGGTTTCTTTTCTCGTAACTTGTCTGGCTGGTATCTAGGCTAACCTTTTACTTAGTTCATCCAGTTCTCTTTTTTATTAAAACATTACATGTGCATGCTGTCACTGGAGCAAAGGGCATGAATGTCAATAACAATTTTACAGAACTTTATCCAAACTGAGCCAGTCTAAATACCTAGATATTCGAGCTGCTTTAGCCGAAAGCTACACTCATGTTTGGTTTGGAATATCTAGTTGGTTCATATAAAACATGCTAAGGTTTGGATTTGGCTCCAGTTAAGCTTGGTAAGGCAATGAGCTCCACATAATTAAGTTTTCAAAGATCTGCAAATAATATAATGATATGAGTAAGCAGAAGTATTGCATTGGTAGCTTTTTCTTGAGATTTCTGTGACAGATTTATGTTTAAATTATAATCTTTCTTTTTTAAAAAAATTTCAACAAAAATAAAAATGAATAATGTAAATTCCTTTTTGTGGTTGCATGTACCTGTGCATGATCCTGATATGTAACTCCTTTAAACTTAGGGGAAGCGCAATTCCCGAGCTGCAGATCCACAGGTTGACAATGTTAAGAATCCTCAGTTTCTTGTTCTGATATCAGAGAACTTTATGGAGGCACGTGCTGCTTTAAGCCGTCCGGGATCAACCTTGGCAAATCAGAGCCCTGTGAAAATGGACATAGCTTCTGCTACTTCAGTTACAGGGCAGCCCCCTGCTTCTGTTCCATCAGGTTGTTATGTTCATACATTAGGTCTGACCAACCCTTTTTTTATACTAAAGTTGTTTAACTGTCTTCAGTTACTTCTAACTTGCATGTTCTCTTCATTTCTTACAATTTTTAAACATATTGCTCAATGAATTTGTGGTTAAAGAGGTAGAAGTTATACATCACTACCAAGAGTATTTGTGCTTATATCCCTTCACTTGTGAGGCAGAATTGGCTAATTACAGTTCTGTCGACCGTTACGTGTGGCTAATAAATCAACCATTCCTGGTTAACATTTATCTTGATGAAAAGCTTACTTAATTCATGTGTTAATAGTGAATGGATCTGTCATGAACCGGCAACCAATTTCTGTCGGAAATGTTCCTTCTACCACTGTAAAAGTTGTAAGTGTCAAATGTCTTTACTTTTTGAAAATTTCTTTGCTTATTTATGGCAAGGAAAAGTTGCTTTTTTCATGGCAGTGGCTTGCCCTTATATAAGTGATTAAACATGTTCATGTGATTATTTAGGAGCCAAGTACTGTGACTTCCATGGTAACTGGGCCTGCTTATCCACATATTCCATCTGTTGCTCGTCCTGTTTCTCAAGGAATCCCGAATTTGCAAACTTCTTCACCATTGTCTACTTCTCAAGATATGATCATAAATAATGATAACGTGCAAGAAGTTAAACCTATTGTCAGTTCTATGACACAGCCCTTAAGGCCAATGGCTCCTGGTGCTGCAAATGTGAGCATACTGAATAATCTCTCTCAAGTACGACAAGTGATGAACTCTGCTGCCCTTACCGGGGGAACTTCAGCAGGACTTCAATCAATGGGCCAAACTCCTGTTGCCATGCATATGTCAAATATGATATCTAGTGGAATGGCATCTTCTGTGCCTGCTGCCCAAAATGTGTTCTCTTCGGGGCAATCAGTTATTACTTCAATAACGGGGTCAGGGACCATTACTGGCACTTCACAGGTTGCACAAAACTCAGGTCTTAATACATTCACTTCTGCAACGCCTAGTGTTTCTGGAAATGCAAATCTTGGAATTTCACAATCAATGGCTACTATTCAAGGAGGTGCTAGTGTTGCCCAAGCTGTGACTGGCATGAACCAAGGAAGTCACTCAGGAGCACAAATGGTACAAAGTGGAATTGGAATGAACCAAAACACGATGACTGGAGTTGGTCCATCAAGTGTTTCATCTGGGACTGGCGCAATGATTCCCACTTCAGGAATGTCTCAACAAGTCCAGCCTGGCATGCAGCCACTTGGTGTGAACAACAGTTCAGCAGTCAACATGCCATTGTCACAACATGCATCAAGTTCTTTGGCATCCTCATCACAGTCCAAATATGTCAAGGTTTGGGAGGTAAGTTCCATTTGTGTGACTGACAAAGATGCTGACAGCTTATGGAAATCTTTTAATGTCTTTATACAGTAACTTTTACACTAAAATCTCTTTCTCTCTCTTTCAGTCTATGGATATATATACATATCTCTCTATATATCTCTGAACTTGTTTCATATCTGTTTCTGTTGAAACCTCACCTTTGAAATTTCTGACTTTGGACTGGTTCGAGTAAGTTTTGTCCTGGAACCTGTGTCTGTTTCTGTTGTTATGTAATTTATATCTGTTAAACTTAGATTTCCTCATAATTGCTAATTTATGCTATCTAAAGTATATTCAGATGCAGTGCACTATTCTGTGGGGCTAATCTACTGCTTGAACCGTGAGTATTAGTTTTTTGATAATAAATCAGAAAACAGAAGCCTTGCACTTGTCAAGTGTAACCAGAAATTGGTTAGAACTCTCCCTTATTGCTTTTTAATCTCTTTGTTCCAAGGAAAATGAGAACCTTAATCCTAAAAAATAAGCATGATGCTCTGAAGT